AATTTCTGCTGAAAATGCCGCCCAGCGTTCCATCTGTTTTTTTACGGCTATTCTCCCCTTGCTCGCTCGCCGCTCTTTCGCCTCTGCTTTTCAAAAGGAGTTATTAAGCAGATGTGTGCTTAGCCTTTTCACAATCGCCCATTTAACGCGACCAAGAGCTGTCACTCTCCTCCCATGTTCACAGTCGCTTTGGGACCTGCATTAGCCCGCGGCCATTACTCCAAGCCTGCTCCAGCGCACACAGAGGAGCTGTCAGGTGGGGGCTGTCTAAATGGGGCAGAGCATGCCATTAACAACAACTTAAAAACACCAGCTTTCCAATGCCGAGCTTTCGCCCTTATACGTACGCTCCATACATGGCCGGCTGTGCCTCCCTCAGAGAGTTTTTGCAGCTTGAAACTTTCCACAATGATGGTGTTTGATAGACGTAAGGCCCATCCTCCCTCATCGCTTCTCGCCTTTCACCTCAATGGCAGGCTGAAATTGAATGATTTAAACACGTGTGCGAGAAAGTCGCTCTCTCCGTCAGACCGTCCCTCCCCTTCCAGACTGGGAATTTAAAGTCGGGGTGCACTAACATCCTCTATAAGGGAAACTGTCACGTTCCTCATTCCACACACCAGCACAGCACACACACACACCACACACACACAGCCACACACACACACCACACCACACCCCAACACACAGCACACAACCACCACACACACCACACACCAACACAGAACAGCACCACACACAACACACCACCACACACACACAGCACACACACACACACCACAGCCACACACACACACAGCACACAACACCACACGGACCTTGTTTTCCAAAAGGGGGAAAAATAACACGTTAGCAGAAGTCAATCCCCTTCCATCCCCATGCAGCTCAAAAACAGAGAAATCTAATGTCTATGGGAAATTGTCAAGGATAGAATAACCGGAATCATTTCCTCCATCTCCTTCTTTAATTAGCCCCTTTTTTAATAAACTGAGCCTATGTGAATATCCCGTGCAGTCTCTGGCAGCCTGGATACGGCTACAATTTGTGATAATCATTTTTCTTTGCTTATGAAATAGTTTGGATTCAGTGGCGATTCACTTTGATGTACATTTAAGCCCAGCAGCTGCAAAACCCCAATGTGAGCATGAATGAAATGGAGAACACTCTCCCTTCTGTCTGTATTATTGTCCCAGGCAACACAATAATTAGTGCTTCTTGATGAACCATTAGCAAAGTGCCAATAAATAAATATGATTAAAAAGGTTCGCCAGGACTCAGGAATAGAATTGCTTTAAATAATAAATCCAGTTT